TGTTGTAACAGTTCCCCGCGCTATTACGACATGTGATTAAGGCTATAAACCACGCTTGAAAAGCTATTCAATTAATAAGCATGCCTTATAGCGTTTGTCTTTGAAACTCTGCACTATCCTTGGATCCCTAGTTAAGTTATATTTTGTTGCTAATATTTCTTGTTATCGTTTACTAATAAAAGATTTTATAAAGAGCTTCGCCCTCAAATAAACGTCGCATCCCTAACACTAAAAATTTCAAGAGCGCTTAAACGAATAAATACGGTATTCTGCCTTCAATACTGGCTTATTGTATTCAAAAGGATGTTCTATTCAATCTAGTTTTTTAGATGAGTGCATGATATTCAACAAACTATATTCGTCGTTTATTATTCCCAGGCATGTGAGAAAAGACAATGGTCTTTGGTCCGTCATACCGCTGGCCTGTTAAAGAAAAGAGTTGAAGATTTAGCTGAAGTTAGTATTGATAAAAGATTCTGGTCGGCATTTCCATATTGTTCTTAAAGAGACAAGCTTCGTAATACCTGCGTGTATAACATTTCATTTTAATTTAGTCTGTTACGGATCTTCTCGTGCGGGAGAAACAACTGACAATTGGACTGCCAAAGGTTACCACTGAACGAGTGATTGATAGGTAAAAGAAAGTCCCAGTTATATATCTCCCATGCAGGTAGTCCAGTTATATAGTAAAGCATATACAAACTCGAACCTAAGGCAAGTTATTTATATTCGTGCTGCAAAGAAAGAATGGTAGTATATGTAAATAGACAAATGGTGATTTGTTAGACAAAGTAAAGAACAATATCGTCATCTTTTTAATACAAAATTGTTCTCTTCCTTAGGCCATTACCACCAGACGAACTTCACAGCATTATTTTCAATATTTGTGCAGAAGACAGCTGTAATGCTGTTCTTACTCAGGTAATCTTTTGATTCGTTGTATGTCAGGTGAACAACGTAGTCTTTCATAGATATATTCAGTGTTTCTATATATATGTTCAAACTGTGTTACGTTTTTTCCCTCTTATTTGAATTAAATTATTTTTTTAAGGAATTGCTAGTGTATCTAGCTATGTTTATCAGAACTGAACCACAATTATTTAAAGAAATGTTGAGAATAAGAGTTGGATTAATTACTGAAGTTATAGCTTCCGAAATGGGGCGTCTTTTAGAGGGAAGTAAGTTATTATATTTGTTTATAATATAGCATTTGTAAATTCTGAACGCTGATTGGCTAAGAGCCGTGTTGATATAACTCAATGTCAACACGGAAACGTCGGAAAATTTATTTCTTTATATTTCTTTGTGCTATATTATAAAATTCTATTCTCGTTTTTCCAATTTCCACTCGTGTTGATGTAACTGTATATCATCGAAGAATTTAGTGTAATATTAGCCTGATTTAAGTTACTACCATTCCTGCTTTTTCTATATTTGTACAGAGGTTAATTTTGACTACATTTGTCTATTTAACTCCATATAAAAATACCGCACTAGGAATAAACTAAAAAGCAGGAAAAACAGCAACTTAAACTTGGCCAAAATTACACTAGATACATCGACAAACTTCGATTTAGCACCAGCGATTGCGGCAAGTTGCAAACGATCTACCATGATATTCTTAGATTTTGCGATTTACCTCATCGCGTTGTACAATCTACTGTTTACAGTAAAGCCATATTTCAAAGTGATATGTAAATTTTTATGGAATTAGAATAAATTATGTCCGGGATTTCTGGCCATGGAGATTTCAATTTATTGAGTTTCTCCCTCATTGGTGAGCGTATTTCCCAACAGGCTATTGCCCAATTGATAGGGGATCCGAGATACTTACGATTTTAACGTCCTTATCCAAGAAGACGCGAGAGTCTGAGCATGTACTGATGTCAATGTAAAGGTAGCTCTTTCTCCTCATTTATTTTAAGACCTTGAGTAAAGGTCCGACCAAGGATTGAATTCGGGTCTTCCAGCTTCAAAGGCAAGCGTGGTGACCACGACACCACTGCTGGTAAATTTCCGAAGTAGGAAGTATATACTGAAAAACAAGGGGAGTAAAGTTTGCCCTCCTCCCAAAAAGTTGTTAATGGTAATTAATTAATGGTATAAAATGTACTTAATGTGTATAAAATTATTTCAGGCGAGAATTGTGCTTCAAAGTTGTTCAAATATTTCAGGTGATGTGGAACCAGAAGACATTCCTGAATTATTTATGAATCTCAGTCCATTTGAAATGAAAACTCTTCTTTATCACATTCTCAGCGGCAAGGAATTTAATGTTTCCAGAGGTAACTACAACATTTACAGTAGACTTTTGACAACGCGGTTATATTTTAATCTTAATCCTTTGGTTATGGCAAAGTGTTCGTTTTAAGTGCACTAGCTTGAAAAAAGTGTAGATGCTGATTCTATTTTGGCATGTCACGCCATTGGTATAATAACGAAAAATTAATAAATAACGAAAAATTAACAGCGAGCGGCTCTTTGATAAGAGAAATGAAAGTTGGACGCGGTCTTTGATGGCGTCTCGCTTCCTCCGTTGTGGTTATACCTCTGTGTCTGAATTAACAGTAATTTGAGATTTTTCACCCAGACACAGGTGCAGTGGCTGACACTAAGGGAGGGGGGGGGGCTGAGCCCCCCCCCCCCAATAATTTAGAAAAACTGTAAAAATCTTGTACCAAATTTATATATAACACAAATCACACTCATATAACGTAATTGTCATCATAATATAATAATATATGTTTCTGTACATGTCACAACATACATATTTTATACACTCTTTGACGGATACTATAGGGGGTCAACTTTTTGCAACAGGCACTTCTTTTTTTACATTGTCATTGGCGTGTTAATTAAATTAAACCACCTTGCAATTCCATTCACAAATGTAAATAATCATGTAAATATTTTGTTTAAAATGTTGGTTTTCTATGCTTAGCATGTGATTTATAACAAAACGCACCATTAAAACGGTGTTTTGAAACCCTAGTTTTTTACAAAATGTGTTCTCAGAATGCTGCAAATGCCATTTCCTGGATTCAAGTTTTAAAATTTTTCCCGTGCCCTCCCCCCAGTATTTCGTAAAGTGTCCGCCACTGCATACGTGGCTTCTACAGAGATTCTTGTGGAGGAAGCCAAGTAGCGTCATCATTCCTTCTATTTTTGGCAACACTTTAACTGACAGAAGGCCTGCGCATTCTAGTCAGATTATTACCAGTGTCCGGGTTATTTTCAACAGCCAATTAAGCTTGCATACTCCTTGTCCACACATTTGATGTGGAAAGGTTGATTATTATCAGTGTCCGGGTTATTTTCAACAGTCAATTAAGTTTACATACTCTTCATCCACACATTTGATGTGGAAAGGTTGATTATTATCAGTGTCCGGGTTATTTTCAACAGTCAATTAAGTTTACATACTCCTCATCCACACATTTGATGTGGAAAGGTTGATTATTATCAGTGTCCGGGTTATTTTCAACAGCCAATTAAGTTTACATACTCCTCATCCACACATTTGATGTGGACAAGTTGATTATTATCAGTGTCCGGGTTATTTTCAACAGTCAATTAAGTTTACATACTCCTCATCCACACATTATTTGATGTGGAAAGGTTGATTATTATCAGTGTCCGGGTTATTTTCAACAGTCAATTAAGTTTACATACTCCTCATCCACACATTTGATGTGGAAAGGTTGATTATTATCAGTGTCCGGGTTATTTTCAACAGTCAACTAAGTTTGCATACTCCTCATCCACACATTTGATGTGGAAAGGTTGATTATTATCAGTGTCCGGGTTATTTTCAACAGTCAATTAAGTTTACATACTCCTCGTCCACACATTTGATGTGGAAAGGTTGATTATTATCAGTGTCCGGGTTATTTTCAACAGTCAATTAAGTTTACATACTCCTCGTCCACACATTTGATGTGGAAAGGTTGATTATTATCAGTGTCCGGGTTATTTTCAACAGTCAACTAAGTTTGCATACTCCTCATCCACACATTTGATGTGGAAAGGTTGATTATTATCAGTGTCCGGGTTATTTTCAACAGTCAATTAAGTTTACATACTCCTCGTCCACACATTTGATGTGGAAAGGTTGATTATTATCAGTGTCCGGGTTATTTTCAACAGTCAATTAAGTTTGCATACTCCTCATCCACACATTTGATGTGGAAAGGTTGATTATTATCAGTGTCCGGGTTATTTTCAACAGTCAATTAAGTTTACATACTCCTCATCCACACATTTGATGTGGAAAGGTTGATTATTATCAGTGTCCGGGTTATTTTCAACAGCCAATTAAGTTTACATACTCCTCATCCACACATTTGATGTGGAAAGGTTGATTATTATCAGTGTCCGGGTTATTTTCAACAGTCAATTAAGTTTACATACTCTTCATCCACACATTTGATGTGGAAAGGTTGATTATTATCAGTGTCCGGGTTATTTTCAACAGCCAATTAAGTTTGCATACTCCTCATCCACACATTTGATGTGGAAAGGTTGATTATTATCAGTTTCCGATTTGTTTTCAACAGCCATTTGTTTTCGTGTGGTAATTTCCTTAATCGGTATAAATCCCTTACTGTAAACTCCACGTTCTGTGACTCATTTTAGATTCGCGGAGAGCACTGACTGACAGACAAGTTTCTTTTATGAACATTGACTTACCAAAAAGAGTTGGAATTAAGAAACTAAAGAAAACAATAAAAGTACGTTGATTTGTAGCACAATTTCTTTATAAAACGTTTGTATTTACTCTTTATCCAGGTAACAGGTAACAGATTACGATATATATGTGTGTCATCTTCGATAAAAGAATACTTTGTTGCCCCGCATTTATTAGGTGCGATATTCTTCTTCTGATGGATGTGAACGAGTCAATGAGCTGTGAACAAAATCGCGATGGAAATCGCAGCAAATATTGCAAATGTAAACTGGCCTTGAGGAAATCTAATATCTAAATGTCTTGAAAGTTTCGTCTTTTCTGCATATTAAATATCCTTCCCAGGGGCGTAGGAAGCATCAACAGATTAGGGAGGCCCGGTTTCGAGGGGCATTTTTGGAATGGAAAGGGCACCTGACAAATTTTTCCCGGAAGTGTTGGCGATGGGGGGGGGGGGAGGGAAGGCAAAATGCAATCGGAACAACATTTTTCTCACGAAGGCAAAGGGCACTTTGCCACCGGAGAGAGGGCATGCACTTTTTGTGTTTTCTGAAAATCTGGGGCCTTGCCCCCCCCCCCCTGTTCCTACGCCCCTGATCCTTTCTACGGCAACTCAACATGCGTTCATTCTATTTTGTTCAGAGTATGCATGCGAGAAGGTCAACTGACTTACTGAATGATAACAGTGAACATGAATACAATCATAGCCTGGGAAGACTTGGTGTTTGGATCAGACGGAGACGGGTTGATGGAGCTTTAAACAGAATTCCTGTTGATTTTTATCCCAAACTTTGGAGGATTTTTGAAAAGGTGAATTTTTTAATTAAACAGCTTTTTATTCAATATTCCATGACAATATAAGAGGGTTTTCAAGGGAACGAAGCAATTCTGCACACAGTTTAAGTTTTTATCCTACTTACAATAATATTTTTATCTATAGTCACGCTACCATTGAAAGTTCTTATGTTTTCAGGTAGATTGTTTCATGCACATAATAAATAAGCTATTCGATTTGTAATTTAGCACTTACGATTTAATAGAGCTTAATCGGCTTCTTTTCCTTTACAGTGCACAGCGCTGTCCATTGAAGGTCATTTTCTACCTAACACTATCATTCAAGAGGTTTGTATTAATAACATATCATTCAACATTCTATACGGTAAAGATTTTAACAAACGAACTTTTTAAATCGATTTTATACAGGTTCTAAAAATCTATTGAAACTGACTTGAAATATTACATGTTCCTCATCCAAGAACGGTTTTAAATTGTCCGGGAAATACAGTATTTTGTCCTGAAATTGGATAACATTCCTTGCTATATGAAATGAGTCCAAATCCCGCGAATAGAGGATTTTCGTGGTCTCGGAGTGACAATTCCTACATATACTACTAATTAAATCGATTTTATACAGGTTCTAAAAATGTATTGAAACTGACTTGAAATATTACATGTTCTTCGTCCAAGAACGGTTTTAAATTGTGCGGGAAATACAGTATTTTGTCCTGAAATTGGATAAAATTCCTTGCTATATCGCGAATATAGGATTTACTACTACTATTTTTGTCTTTTTCAAAATTAATGAGCAATCTCGTTGACATTGTGTGTTTTTTATATGTAGATGACACCAGGAGAAATGAAGTTTGCTCTGCGTGTAGAAAGTGCATTAAATTGTATTCCTCAGCCGGAATATCGTCAGTTAATGGTTGAAGCTCTCATGATTTTATCTCTTGTTGTTGAAACGTATCCTGATCAAATTCTAGGCGAGGTCATAGCGGTTGATGAAATAGTCAGGGAAGCTCATAATCTGTTTCTTCGTGATCAGGTACAGTATATTGCACAGTATTCTTCCGACGTAGATACAATACAAGCGCCGTTGAGCTTCGGGAAATGGTGCTATATAAATATATTAAATTATGAAAGTATTAATTATTACAATATAATACAAATACAATACAATACAATACAATACAATACAATACAATACAATACAATACAATACAATACAATACAATACAATACAATACAAAAACAATTTTCAACACGGCAGAAGTTAAAGCTATGATGCCTGTATGTTACAATACAAATATAATACATATATGTTATTTACCGGCTGCGAGGTCCGTACTGAAAAAAATATTTTCCCGAGGAGTACGCGGACCGACCTAAACGGTAAATAACGTGTTTATTTTTTTATTTGGTAGTTCATGTATTTTAAAAATTCCGATAAAATTCCAGTTGCGAAGTACATTTGAGATCAGTTGTGTTTCAGTGTTTGTTACTTTAGTGCAAGCATGGCTGACAAACTGCTAAAATGACGCGATAAAAGCTGGATAAAAAGCTTTTAGTTTCATTGCAATAGATGCTTTTCTACTCAACAAGAAAACAGAAGGTAAACAAAGTAAAAATATTTATTTTCCGATTCGTTTTGCAGCATGGAAATGCTTGAAAAATGCTTTTTGACAGACAAATACAAATTTTAGTTGCCGAAAAACAATTTGTTCTTTACAACATTTTGCCCGAATTTAAGGTAATTCCGCAGTTTTGCATTGCGCACTTTTACTGCGCACATCTTATAACTTATAATTTTATCCATTATACGTACCGTTTAAAACAAAATGTCATTTTATGACAATTTTATGTTATTAAAATCAATGTTTTCAAAAAAGGCATACAAAAGTGTAGCTAGGGTTCCCTGTGTCTGTAGTATATTTATTTACTTGTATTTCACGTTTTAATGCCACAATTCCCTAAAAAGATCGGTGACCCCCGTTTTTTAACTGATAATTTATTTCTTTAATGCATTTTACATTTCATATCCGAAATTAAAAGAAAAATCATTTCTGGATCTTGAAAAAAAATGCTTTATCAATGCATGTTCTCAAAGAAAGATATGTAAAGAAATGTGCAAAAGACATTTGTGGATCAGAATTGTACGCGTTAGTAGTTTCATTTTGCTCAAAACACAATATTTTTTCAAAAATAATTACAAGATAGGTTTACTAAAGCAACTAATCCGCGCTAAAAACGTCAATAAATATCGGGCTGTTGTGAGTTTGCTGTTACTCGTAATGAGCGTCAAGATGGCGCCATATTGGGGTAAAGGTGGTATATTGTGATTGTCATATCTTCTTAACGAGTTCGGTGACCCCGACTTTTTTTGTGATTTTACTTTTTTATATCATAAACTCCATGCCTGGAAGTTTCAGCACATTCTCATTTCGGGAACAATTACTGCGGAATTACCTTAAGGTTATTTATTTATACGTATATTTTCGAAGAATAGCTGACGTAATATATATGAACAACGAGAGCGAGTGTTTCACCGGGATATCCAAACACGAGAAAACAATGTATGAAAACACGAGCGCGAAGCGCGAGTGTTTTCATACATTGTTTTCGAGTGTTCGGATATCCCGGTGAGACACGAGCTCGAGTTGTTTATATGGCTTCTCAAATGAATCGAGACGTAACAGAATGTTTTCGTTTGCTGATTTGAATAGAATTCTTAACCAAGCATAACGTAATTAGGAATTCTATTCAAGTAATTTTGCATGCGTAATTAAGATATTAGATGAAAACACTAGTGACTTACATCAAGTTTCACCGGGTTGTCCAAATGGCATCTTGTGATCAAATAGGTGATTATCATTGGCTGAATTGCTCATGAATTATTAATGATTTTGAGAATAATATGTAGAACATTTGAATCAAAACATGCAGCACTGGCAAGTGTTTTTCGATGTTTATATTTTTTTTCGCAGTTTGGTCGGAGAAAAGTACATTTCGGGCTTGGCACTAAGTCCACTGGAGCCAATTCACTGTATTTTACTGTCTTTAGTATCGATAGGGTGGATTTTTAAACTTTTTGGGTAGTGTTTTGAGTTTGAAAATTGTCTTCACTCCTCGGTTTTTCGCGAAAAAATAAATCTTTTGGACCACGGTCAAGATATCGTAAAAAGCTGCCCGCTGCTGCAGCCAATCAGATTGCAGGAAATAAAAAAATAATGCACAAATAAAAAAATAAATATTGGAATTACTCTTATAAAGTATAGATTTACTATTTATAAACTATATAGGTTTTAAAATTAATTAGTTTTTGGCCGTTTTTATACTATAGAGACGCATTATGCGTCTGGACGAACTTGGGCAAGCATCTGTTGTTCGTCTGGTTATGCGTCCTTAGTATAAAGACGGGCACGAGACGCATTATGTGTCAAGACGAACTATGTTCAATTCTTCGTCTTAAGAGACGCGCAACCGATGCTAGTTCGACTAGACGCATAATGCGTCTTGTGCCCGTCTTTATACTGAAGACGCATAACCAGACGAACAATAAATGCTGATAGTTTGTCGGATTATTCGTCCCGTCTTTATACTACACGAATAATATAGAAGACGGATTATGCGTCCAGACGCATAATGCGTCTCTAGTATAAAAACGGCCAGAAAGTCTACCAGTGGCGAAGCTGAGGGAATTCGACTAGTCGTGCTCTAAGACCCGCACAGGCTAGGGGGGTCCGGGGGCATGCACCCCCGGGAGAATTTTGATTTTC